AAATGTTTACTGTCGTTTTAAGCCGCTGAGTGTTGGGCTCATTCGTTACACAGCAAAGGATAACAGACACAGAGTAGATATAGACGTTCCTGGAACAGCCAGAAATTGTCTTGAGAAGAAAAGATGACTTTATTAAGATTTTCTCTCCGTGCTCCTTCCCTTCCCCCAAAGAATTTTTACATAAAAAGGGATGTGTTCAACTTAGATTTGTATCCTGGCTCTTCCTTACCTTCTATCAATCTTAGTTTCCCCTTCTCTAAAACTGAGGAGTTAAAATGCAATCTGCCACCTTTGAAATCCTAGGATCTCCTAGAGGTTAAAACCATAAGTTTTGAGTCAGGGGGCTAGTTGTGAACCATGGCTCTGTCACTTGCTTGCTGCGTGACCCCAGGCTAATTACCTGATTTCTCTGAGCCTCAATTTCACCTTCCATGAAGTGGGTTTAATAATATCTACTTCACATTGTTACAAAAATTCACTAAAATAATGCCTATAAATCACTTAGCACATAGTAAGTGCTCAATAAGTGCTAGTTAATGCTAACGATAATGAGATAGCATGGTGGGTATGATTATTTTCACTTATGACTAAGATACAGGTGGATCAGAAAGGTTGGAGGATTTCATTGGTCTGAAGCAAGGCCCAGGTATGGGCAACTTTCTAAAAGCTCCCCAAGTGATTCTAAAAGAAACTCGGTCCTAGAGAAACTTCCCTACATGTGCCCAAAAATCATACAAGAATTTCAAGGCAGTGCTGTTTGTAGTGGGGAAAGACTGGAAATAATCCAAATGTCCATCGATGGGTAAGTGAAAAATAAACTGGAAAGGGAATACTATACAGCAATATAAAATTAATGAATCAGAACTATAGGTATCAACATGAACGTAAATCTCTAAAATCTGATTCTGAACCAGACAAAATGCAGAAGGACACATAGAATATACATTATGTGTAAAAACATGCAGAACATCATTCTATGTTATTTAGGGATATATATATGGATAAAAGCAAAAACCATGCATGGGGACCAGAGCATCAAATTCAAGATGGCGGTGACCTCTAGGGAGGGAAGGACACGTGACAGGGAGAAGTGGTCCATGGGCATCTTTCAGTGCTTTGGAAATATGGTATTTCTTAAAGTGGATGGCAGGCACACAGGTGCCTATCGTATTAATATTATCTATGCTTTTTGGATGTCTGCAATATTGCATCATTTGAAAATAAATGTGTATAGAAAAATATCTAGTAGAATTATGGTATTTTTTCTTCTTGGTTTGTGTGGGGGGGAGGGGTGTGTGTGTGTGTGTGTGTGTGCGCGCGTGTGCGCGCGCCTTCTGTTATATCTATAATGATCTAATCTTTCTTTTAATAAATAAAGTAATTGGTTATTTAACAAGAAAAAGGCAGTTATACTTAATTTCTTGAAAGTAAGAAGTATCACTTCCTCAAATGATTTGCTCTGAAAACAACACTTATTTGTGTGTCTGAGTTCTCAAATATATGTGAAAATCAATTTGACGCCCTATGACATAAGAAATATCCTGAGGCCAGAGCACGAGCCTTCAGCCCAGGGACACTTACACGGGGTTCCCAAAACCCTGTCCCTTGAGGCCGCCTTGGAAACTGGGCCGGCCCCTACTGGGGCGGATTAATCCTCTAATAAGCAGGATTAATTAGTAGTCAGGGAGGCGGGAAGCTCTGCGCTTCCTGCTGCAGCAGCATAAAGTTAGAAGGAGAAAAAAAAAATCCAGGCAGGTGGGTGGTGGGGGTGAGGGGGCTGGGAGTGAGGGAAGCAAGAACAGGTATGGTGTATTTTCTTTTTAATGAAGTTGAGTCGTTCTGGAGGCAACCCAATGCAATATAGCCCCAAGTTGGGGAGTTTTGTTTTTCCTAAGCAATAGAATCCGACTCTATCAGCAAGAAGCGCTTGACTGCTGTTTCTTAAAGACACAAAAGGTTTATTTTGTTTTGTTTTGTTTTGCATAATGGACACGTTTCCCATGCAGCCACTTTCCAAATTCTTTGTCATGTGTCAAGGTAAGCTTTTAGAAAACTCCTCCATGGGCCACAGGGAGGCAATTTCCACCTAATGCAGAATGCTTACGACGGAGAACGCCAACTTTTCAATATCACTTCAGGGACCATATTTTGTGCATTCAACACAGCTGAATGCAGACAAAGTCAAGAAAGAAAATTGAGTGTAATCTCCTGACAAGGAGATTGAATGAGGGAAGCGATGCCAGGTGAATTACTGCCCCCTGGTGGCCACAAACAGTGGTGGGCGCTTTTGCTGAGATAGTTACTTGCATTGTTTCTTCCAGTATTCCTTGTCACCTTTCCCTGCCCATCTAAAAAATCTAAAACGGGGATTACAATCTGGCAGCCCTCTATAGCCAGCAGGCAGTCATGCGAACCGTTTAAAAATCTGGAGAGACTGCTTAAAAATCTAGGCCTCACGTTTCGTTTGAAAAATTGGAAAATCTGTCAATTTCAGGACTGCATCTCAGTATAATAAATGTGGGTTACAGCTGAGAAGCTGCTGCCCACTTTGGACAAGGCATGTGCTTTCAAATTCGCCACACTCCTCACCTCTCCCTATTGTCTCATGCCTAGGCAGTTTTACTCATTAGCGATCCCTGCATAGCTTCTGCATTTGCTACCCATGGCCTAAGCTCATGAAAGAAGTTACACTTATGTCCCAAAAAGGAGTGGAGAGAGGAAGGTGCCTTTAAAAGCAGGTGATTACATCACTTTATGCCTGGGTGTGGACAGAGGTCCATAAGCCCCATGGCATCCAGCTCCGTGGGAATAATTGACTTCCTCAAGGTCGCTCAGCTAGTAAGTGGGGGGCCTTGTATTTCAGTGAACACCTGTTAGACCCCCAAAGCCTTACTGTTTCCTATCACACCCATAAGCATCCTCTCCTCTGGGGGAGGTTTTTATAATAACATCACTACTTGGGCCATCAGAAGCGCAATTCAGAAGATTTCAAGTGAACAATGTTCAAGACCTTTCTTTAAAAGATTAAAAAACAAGAAGCCACCAAAACAACCAACATCCGGAGTTTGTTTCTTAAAAATTTCATGGTTTGTCCTGGTTCAGGTGTTTCATATTCAATTCAATAAATTCTTTTTTTCCTTTAAAGACAAGGTCCCCCTCTGTCACCCAGAGTGGAGTGCAGTGGTGTGATCATTGTTCACTGCAGCCTCCAACTCCTGGGCTCAAGTGATCCTCCTGCTGCAGCCCCCCAAGTAGCTGGGACTACTAGCACATGCCACCACGCCTAGCTACATTTTAATTTTTTTGTAGAGATGGGGTCTTGCTATGTTGCCCAGGCTGGTCTTGAACTCTTGGCCTCAAAGGATCTTCCCGCCTCAGTCTCCCAAAGTGCTGGGATGACAGGCGTGAGCCACCACACCCAACCCAACAGAATTTCTTGAGCATCTATTCAGTGCCATACTCCATGCTGAGGGCTGGGATCTGCACATGCGGGGCCAGTTACAAGACATAAACAGGCATCCCAGCAGACAAGGGCCAAAGCTGCTTGGTCTCCCACCTTGCAATGTCCCCCACGGGGTCCTTCATGACAACATGCCTCTGGTCATCAGTCCCAACTCTGGCCCGGGCCTGGACAATTCGTTTCATGCAACAGGTCAGTGGCTTCCCTAAATTGGAATCAGAATGAGACCTACACAAGGTGCAATGGGATTTCTCCCCAGTGGCTGGAACAACCTGCAGCTCTGACACTTTCTTCTATGGATGACAAATAAAGCAGCAATGACTTGGTGTCTTCTAGAAATAATTGCAACGGCTGATACTTATCAGGCATTTGCTCTGTGCCAAACACGAAGGATCTCACCACACCCTCATAGAAAACCCTAGGAAGAGGCACTGTCATCGCATTGTCCCCAGTTCACAGAAAAGCAAATAGGGGATCACTGATATCAGTTCATTTGCTGAATGTAATTCAGTCTGCAGGTGGCAGAGCTGGGATTTGAACCCAGGGCTGCGTGGCTCCAACGGTGACACCCACGACCACTGCCTGGTACTGCCTCTGAGGGGAGCAGGTGTCATGGAGAAGGTCAGATCTTGAAGCATCAAGCCTTCCGAAAATCCCCCACTTGAGGGCAAAAGCAAGGTAGGCTGTTTGTACAGGTGGGGAAACTGAGGCTCAGAGGAACTTGCCCAACGTCACCCAGAGAGTAAATGGCAAATTCTGACTTGGAGCCTGGGGTCTCTCAGACTGCAGGGTCTGAGCTGCTAACACCCTCATGCTTAGCCTTTCTGGGGCACGCGTCTAAATAAACGTTTGATTTCAGTATTTGTGGATTAAGATGGAGGTTTCAGAGCTCTGCTTCAACAACTGTATCTCTCTGGGAAGCTGAAGGAGTCAGCCAGACCCTTCTCTGGAGGATGCAAATTAGAAAGTCAGGGAGGGAAGGAGGCAGAGAGGGGAGAGTAGGGAAGAAGGCGGCAAGCTCTATGGCACGGGGCGGAGGCTAAGATGGGCAGTGAAGACGAGGAGACTAACAGGGTGGAAGCCATCAACATCATCATTTCACCACCGGAGGAAACTGAGGCATACGAGAGTAGCCCCGAGACGAGGGGACCAGACGGAAGGACAGCACCTCCCGGTGGGCGGAACTGCGAGCTTCCGGCCGGCATCCAGCGCGCCCCGAGTCCGCACCCGCTCCTCCCGCCTGCGGCCCAGGCCCCGCCCCTCTCGTTGCTCATTGGTTGCTGCGGGCGAGACCAACACAAGAGATGACCAATGGGAGTGGCCCACGGCGCGTCTTTCCCGGGGAAGCAGGCGCAGACGCGGGAACCCGGAAATGCGAGAGGCGGACAAGTGACGAAAGCCAATCAGCCGCGACGAGGGAGGCGGGACGTCCAATAGCGAGTCGCCGGGGGCGGGGCCAGAAGGCCGGCGGCGGTGGAGGTCCAGGGAGCCGGCGGCCTTGGAGTCCTGAGAGCGCAGGGAAGGCGGCGGTAGGGCCCGGTGGCCTCGCGAGGTGAGGAGGAGGCAAGCCGGAGGGGCTCGGAAGGAGCGAGCCGAGGAAGGTGCTGCGGGGCCGCGATCCCTGGGCGGGGCTCGGAAGGGGGCGGCTCTGCGAAGTGACCTTAGACAAGTCCCCTCGCCTCTCGGGCCTCAGTTTCCCCCTTTAGAGAATCGAGAGGTGAGAGAGTTGAGCCTCCCGGAACACACTCCTTCCCCGCACACACTCCCAGCACCGAAGAACTCTTTGCCGTAACAGCCCCGTCGAGGAGCCCGTCCCCCGGGAAGCCCGCCCGGAACACCTGGACCCGCACAGCACGCCAGGCCGTTTCAGATGTGCTGCGGCAACGAGCCGGGCTCCCCCATAAGACGCTGAACACTGCGATCAGTCAGTCACTTCTGGGTGAGGAGCAGCCGGAGCAGGTGCACAGGCCTTGCTGAGTAAGAAGGTAGCGTCAAGACCTGGGGACTCAAAATGCACTGGGGTTTCATTCCTAATGGCCTCTGTTTAGCCTCCTGTGGGCCTTCTGGAATTTAACTTACCCTCTCTTTGCCTCGGTTTCCCCTCTATAAAATGGAGCTAGGAGCAGCTCTTCCTTCATAGGGTGGCATGAGGGTTAAATGAGATAATGTGTGGCTGGCACTCAGCTCAGCTCCCAGCACACCATAGTTGCCCAATAAATGCTTATTGTCAGCATAATGGTGCTTGCATACCTGGCCCCTCCACTCCCACTGCCACCCCAAGCACATGCCTGTTGTCTCTAAGGCTGAGTGGTCACTAGTCTGGCCCACAGCCTGAGTTCCTTTCAGGATGCTTGGACTGTTGAACCTCTTGGGGTCCCTTCTGGACAGGCCAGGAGAGGAAGGCCAGAGAGGGTAATAGCACTGGGGGCGTGTGGCTGAGTATCAGGGCAAGGATAAGAAGTGGCCACCCACATGCCAATAAGGCCACCCAACAGATGTGCTTATCCAAAAATGGGTTTCACAACTGCTGTGGCTGATCCGGGTGTGTGTTTGTTAGTCATTTGTGCCCCAAACACCCAGTGTTTGGGGTCAGAGGCCACAGAGATGCATGGTGAAGGAGGGACACTTCAGAGCTGTGGGGTTCCTGAGTTCAAGTCCTAAGGCTGTCACTTGCTCACTGGGTTGCTTTGGGCAAGGACTTCACCTTTCTGAGCCTCAGTTTCCTCATCTGGAGAGTGAGGTGATGATAATCAGCTCCTCAGGTTGCTGTTGGATTCTGCAGGAGATAGTATGTGTGAGGTGCTTAGTGCTTAGCACAGGACCTGGCATGTGGTAAGTGCTCACTAAATGTTAGGCAGCAGTTGCATGACTTTTCACAGTCACACTACACTGTAGGTGGCACCAATCCTTCCAGGCTGGCCCCACCTCCAGTTAGATCCACTTCTTGCCTTGCCGCCGCCTCATGCCACTCCTACTCCCGATCTCTCTAGTGAATTAAAGGTGTGGGTCACTAGCCCCACCTCCCCGGCTGAAGTCACACAGTGTCCCGAACGTGTTCATTTTGCTGCCTCATCTCTGTGAACTCGGTTCCTCGCAGATCCTGCTCTCGGCAGACTGTGGACATGCGCAAGGGGCCCACCCATGAGTCCAGATGACGCTCATGCCGATGGCTTCAGTGATGGCGGTGACCGAACCGAAATGGGTCTCAGTGGGAGGCCGCTTCCTGTGGGTGATGCTGCTGAGCATGGTGCTCGGGTCCCTGCTGGCCCTGCTGCTGCCCCTGGGCGCCGTGGAGGAGCAGTGTTTGGCTGTGCTCAAAGGCTTCTACCTGCTCAGGAGCAAACTGGACAGGGCACAGCACGCCGTCACCAAGTGCACCAGCCCGTCCACAGAGGTCAGTGTTAGCTCCAGGGATGCTGCGCTGCTGGTGGTCAAGACCAAGGCCTCCCCAGGTGAGACACTCTCTCCTCAACACTCATTTGACAGATATTTATAGAGGGTCTGCTGTGTCCTGTGTGCAGGGCACAGGGGATTGTGGCGAACCAGTGAGCCCTGAGCTCCCAGCCTAGACACGCTGACAGGTGATTGAGACAAGGGTGAGTCTGGTGATTGGGAAGCACAAAGGGCTATAGGAGCACACCAGGAGGGCTCCCTGGAGGAGGTGACGCCTAAGCTGAGACTTGATTATAAGTAGGAGTGATCCAAGGAGAAGGGCTTGAGGGGAAGAGAGAGCCTGGGGGCATTCGAGGAACTATAAGAAGTTGAGTGTGTATAGTTGACCCTCACTGGCCGAGACCAGGTGGGGACAGGAGGGCTAGGGCAGGCTGTCCGCCTCCACGGGAGAGTTCTCTGTGGGGGGGGCTGACAGATGGTGAGCAGCAGCCCTGGCCTCTCCCCATGAGCTGCCAGTAGCACCCTTCCCCCCAGTTAGGACAACTACATGTGTTTCCAGACATCGCCAGATGTCCCCTGAGGGGCACAGCTGAACCACTGGGTTAAAAAAATTGAAAAAACAGCCAAGGGATGGTAAAGCCCCCAAGGACTAGCAAGAGAGGGGAGCCGTTAACACCCCTAGGCGTGCAGGGGCAGGGCCCAGCATCTCGGAGATGTAGGCGAGCTCACCTGTCGGGAGCTGGGCCGGAGGGGCAGCACAGCAGGGAGGGCCCGCGGGGAGTAACTGCCCGGACCTCTCCATGTCCAGTCGGAAGACAGGGGGCAAGGGAGCCCAGGTGGTGCCCCCCAGGGTGCAGAGAATGCCTCTGGGGACACTCAGACGGTGACCAACATACCACCTACAAGGCCGTAGGGAACAGAGAAGTACCAGGCATGTCCAGCAAGCACAGCACGGCTGGAACGAGCACCCTGAAGGCCAGGGACTCGGGCTGGTCACCACGGTTTCCCCTGGGAGGCCAGCCCAGGTGACTGCTCCCCTGGATCCACCACCTGCCTCCCTGACAGTGCCTCCTGGCTCTCTTCTAGCAGGTAAGTTGGAAGCCAAAGCAGCTCTGAACCAAGCCCTGGAGATGAAGCGCCAGGGCAAGCGGGAGAAAGCCCAGAAGCTCTTCCTGCACGCCCTCAAGATGGACCCGGACTTCGTGGATGCGCTCAACGAGTTCGGCATCTTCTCGGAAGAGGACAAGGACATCATCCAGGCGGACTACTTGTACACCAGAGCGCTGACCATCTCGCCCTACCACGAGAAAGCACTGGTCAACCGCGATCGGACGCTGCCGCTCGTGGAGGAGATCGACCAGAGGTATTTCAGCATCATCGACAGCAAAGTGAAGAAGGTCATGTCCATCCCCAAGGGGAACTCGGCGCTGCGCAGGGTCATGGAGGAGACCTACTACCACCACATCTACCACACGGTCGCCATCGAGGGCAACACCCTCACCCTCTCGGAAATCAGGCACATCCTGGAGACCCGCTATGCCGTGCCAGGGAAGAGCCTGGAGGAGCAGAACGAGGTCATCGGCATGCACGCGGCGATGAAGTACGTCAACACCACCCTGGTGTCCCGCATCGGCTCGGTCACCATCAGCGACGTGCTGGAGATCCACAGGCGGGTGCTGGGCTACGTGGACCCGGTGGAAGCCGGCAGGTTCCGGACGACACAGGTCCTGGTCGGGCACCACATCCCTCCCCACCCTCAGGATGTGGAAAAGCAGATGCAGGAGTTCGTGCAGTGGCTCAATTCCGAGGACGCCATGAACCTGCACCCGGTCGAGTTCGCAGCCTTGGCCCATTACAAACTCGTCTACATCCACCCTTTCATCGACGGCAACGGGAGGACGTCCCGCCTGCTGATGAACCTCATCTTGATGCAGGCCGGCTACCCGCCCATCACCATCCTCAAGGAGCAGAGATCCGAGTACTACCACGTGCTGGAAGTTGCCAATGAAGGCGACGTGAGGCCTTTCATTCGCTTCATTGCCAAGTGTACTGAGACCACCCTGGACACCCTGCTTTTTGCCACGACCGAGTACTCGGTAGCGCTGCCAGAAGCCAAACCCAACCATTCTGGGTTCAAGGAGACACTTCCTGTGAAGCCCTAACCCTATAAATCCTCCCTTGGTGACAAGGGCTGTCCTGGGCGGTGGGGTGAGCAGGGGAGAGTCAAAGAAACTTAGCATTTCTAGAAACCTTTCCCAAAGCAAAAGGAAACCTTCAATATTCTTTACCTCCCAATGTTTTTTGTTTTATTTAAAAGAGAAAAAAACTAAATTATTAAGCCTTATCTCTAAGATAATTTATAACTCAGCCAAGTTATTTATGTTCTTCTTTTTGCAGGCTAGTAAATGTTGTGTGGCATTCGCTGCACCTGTGCTGGCAGCCACTGTTCAGGTGGCGGTCCCAGCACGCTTTAGGAGCGGCAGTGCTCCTGGGTGACTAGGACACAGGTTCTAGAGCAGAATTTGCACAAAGGTGGTGGGGGAGAGGCCAGGCGCTGTGGGACAGGGCCCAGAGCCATAGGCATGACCCCTCCAGGTCTCTGAGTGGTTCTGCCGCTGACTGGGAGGTCGGCACTCTGGCAGAGAACCCCATCCCAGCTTTGAGAAATGATCGAGAGCTTGCGTTCTCAGAGGTTTTTGCTCCCGCACAGACATTAGCATGGTGACTTATACGGATAGAGCAAACTTTTAAGATGGGATAAGTGAATGTTGACATTTCTAGTTGGATACCTTGCTTACTTCCAGGAAGACTCTGAGCCATAGTTAGTTTGCAGACTTTAGTGCCAGAGGCTATTTTTCCATATCGAGACTATTTTTCTTAATTAACAGTGGCCAGCTTGGTTTTCTTTGTGAACTGATATATCTCTTGCACTTTATTGGCAGCAACTCAGACATGTCTCAGTCTAAAAGTTCTCTGGGCTTGTCACCCAGCGACTGCATCGGGCTGCAGGTCCAGTGTCATGCAAGTGGGCAATCCTGCCCTCACCCCCCACTCTGAGTTTCCTGTAGGTAAATGTCAAAAGAACACATCTGGGAAAACATGCCACATCAACACCAAGTAAACATTTTTGGTGACGATTCAGAGCACCAGCTTCTACTGAACCAAGTAAAAACATTTAACCACAGCCAGGACGTGTCCCTATTGTCATGCAGTCTCATCCACTTACTGCCCGGACCCCCACCTCCCACAGCCATCCTACTGTCCAGCGTCCCCTCGGGGAGGCAGAAGAGATTGCCTCAGAGCGGCCTTATTTTTCTAGCAACTTGGAAAATGATACATTATATGTAACATGGCCAAGCTGGCATCTTACCAAAGTAGAAAGCATCTTCCCTCTCAATCATACATGGCACCCGTGCCAATACGACTGCTGCTATTTAGTCAGAACGGCCCACGACCATTGGGTCCCCTACCCAGTGACGGAGCCCGTGACGTCTAACGCTGTACTGCATTTCGTCACTGTCTGAATGATGGTGAATACACAGTGTTGTCTCTTGAGGATTCAGTTCCTGAGTCACGAGGTCACTACTCTGATGTACTTAAGTGTTTATACAGTTATTCAGGTGTATAAATAGCACAGAGTATTTTCTGAAAGGTTAAGAAAAATAAGTGAAATAATATATGAAATGGCTCCAAGTGTAATTCAAACCTTTGTAGAAAAAAAAAAAAGCTTTCATACTTTCTTGCTGCCCGAGGGTATTTCTTAACACCTTAACTCTTCTCGTCTTGGTTTTATAAGCACACCGAGGAAGTCTGACAAAAGTACCTGCTTTGTACCATAGAGCGAGAGAATTTGCACTTTAGCTATACGTGAAGGGTATTATTTTAACAAATTACTGATTCTAATAAAGTATTTTATTACATAAGCATCCAAGACGTTGCCGTCTTATTTGAAAGATGTTCCTGTTCGTCACAGGGTGACGGGAGGGTTCTGAACTCCAGCCCGATTCTTTATATTGTTCTGGGAGAAAAACATCCGAGAGGACAGTTTCAACAGGCAAACAAGACAGAACTAGTTGTGTAAAGTGCCGTCCCAGGCTGGCAGGGATGAATTACTGATTTTTATTGAGACTCTAAGTAACTGAAGAGATCTTTCATGTTTCTATTTACCCCCAGGTTCTGGATTTTCTCAGGAAAACACTCATGTTCCTGAAAATCCATTTCTAGAACAGTGACCATGAACCTAAATTGGTTCAGACTGCTCAGGTGTGAAAAGGTTCACCCCTGTGACGAGCCTGTGCTGACATCTCAAGAGTGTGAAGTCGTGTCAGAGTTGGCCAAAAGCAAGAGAACCAGCTGCAGAAACTAAAGCCACATTAGCCTGAAGCGAGGAAACCGTGGCTCTTCAAGAGTCGGCCCCTGACCGTCAGGGCTCCCTCCGAGTTCCCCAAACCATCTCAGCAACTAAACAGGCGTCAGAGCAGCATCGCAGAGAATACCGCAGGGGGAACCCAAGTGTCATAGCTTAGGTTCTTCCTGCTGCTGATGGCCTGATGGCCGCTACTTGAACTTAATTCAGAAGTAATGGCCTACTAAAAAAGTTGGGGTTTTTGTGTTTAAAAAAAAAAAAAAAAAAGATGGAGGAAAATCTACATTTTAAAAGACTTAAGAGGCTTACCAACCAATGATAATTTACAGGGAGGAAAAGTGACATTTATTGAACGATAGGAAACTGGAAATTCGGATGGTTGATGACATTAAGGTATTATTGCTAATGTTTTTAGGGATGATGATAAAACTATGGCTTTTAAGTCCTCTTTTCAAGACACACGCCACACTCCCGAAGGAGCGTGACGCTGTCTGGGATGTACCCCCATGTCAGAGAAGAGAGAGGAAGAGACAGGAGGAGAGGAAGGGCTGTGGGTTGAGGAATGCCGGCTGCTCAGTGGTAGGCACACAGGAGTTTATTTCACTCTGTTCTACTCTACCTTTTTATCGGTTTAAAATTTTCCATTAAAAAAATGTTAAGTTAAAAAAATGCAGAAAAGCCTGATGCACAAAAACTCACTTACAAAACGGATAAGTGAGGAGTTGATCCTCGTGACATATAAAAGGATTCCCTTATGTCTTTCTCCAGTGTTGTTAGAAAGTAAGCCTCCCCTACCGCACTGGCAACGCTGCTTTCAAAGCAATAAATATTTGATAAAAGAGGAGAGGTAAAAAAGCTTAAAAGCTAGTGTCAAACTGCTGTAAACCGAAGTTTAAAATTGAAGACACATCACAGCTGAAATAATTTAAAATCAAAGTGACAATGGAAGTTGACTTACAAAAGTTCTATTTACACATCTATTAGGTAAAGCAAGGTACACCCACTTCAGAATACATCCGTATGTGAATGTGCATCTGAGTACCACTGTCAGGAAGTTTCTAAGAGAACTTCAGTGTAACAAACAAAGCTAAGTGGGGAGAACCGAAGTTTGCACTTGACATGGTACTGAAACAAAACCAAAGGGCTGGAACTCAATGTTTAGACAAAGAACACAGTTCACTAGTCACTAGGCAAAGAAAATGGTCCACCGCAGGTGGCACACAGAATTCCTATATAAAACAAGTATCACAAACATTTTGCTTTTAGGAAACAAAACAACAGCTTGACGTGTCACTTACAAATACATAATATAAAAAATGCACAGCCCCTCTGAACAAAAATCCATCAAATGTTTTTTATGAGATTTCCCCTCCCTCACCCCCTCCCCGTAGGCCATTCTGGTGAATTACTGGCATCTGCCTTTCATCTTTTAAAATTAAAAGAGTGACAGGCACATGTGCTGTGCAGGGTGTGAGAGAAGTGTCTTATAAAAAGGGGCCAGAGCTGGCCAAAAACATTAGGACAAGTGGGTCTCAAAAACTGCGTGTTCTGGTTTCACTTCTGCTCCTCATCCTTTAAGACACAAAAGTATCTCAGGACGCTATGTCCTGGGCCCAACCTGTAGTGATCACTCTCCTCCTGTTGCCCTCAATATGAGGGAGCGCTGAAAGCCTCTGTACTGGGACACCCTTTCCCTTTCTGTCTAAAGCAGAGGGAAGGCGGCGGTAGCGAGTGGGCACCGCACCAGGCCATCTGTCCCTAGTGCTTCGCTGTGTGGCGGGTGGTCTGCCGGGCCAGCATGAAGTAAGGCATCTCCTGTCTCTCCCGGAGTCCTATTCACTTTCTCAGAAGCAACTTGGCAAAATCAGCATTGGACATCTTGGGCGCCTCGGTGGCCGCTGAGGTGGTGACTGCTGGACTCGGGGCAGGGCCGTTCTCGGCCTGAGGAGTGGCACTCGGGCGCTGCAGGGCACGAGGCAGCAGAGACAGCTGGGTCCTCCCCTTGCCCCGCCTGGAAGACAAACACTGAGTGTACCCGCCAGGCAACGACTCATGGCCCCTGACTTACATGTGAAAATAAGCCAGGAGAGTTTCAAGTTACCCAGAGTTAAAAGATGAAAAATAAAATGAAGGATGAGATAAGCCCTCTCCCCCTCATCCTGGCTTTTAAGTAAAAACCACTTCAACAAACTCTGCCTAGTTTAGGATTTTGGCAAGGACCAACCCTGTGCGAGTCACACTCAGCGTGGACAAAAACGCTGTCATCTCTCAGACCTCACCCAGTGACCATGCGATTTGCTGTCTCCCCCCTAACCAAGTGAAAAGCACAGCTTGTTCGTGCATCCCGGCTGAGGCTGGAAATCCTCAAGCACGTGGTTATCGGGTTTTGTTTCAAACATACAGATTCACCGGCAAGGGGAACTTTCAAATAATCGCTGCCTTAAACAAGTTTTACCTTCAATAAATGACAAGCGTAAACTGGCAAACACCAGGCAGGGCCTCACCTCCTGGGCTTGTCCCCTGGGAACAGCAGGCCCTGGCTTTTCTGACCGAACTGACTGTCCTAACAGGAAACTGGTTCACCCTGGTTTATCCCTCCAGTTTATCCCCTGGAGGGCACTGCTGGCCAGGACAAAGTCTGCACTGGGCTAACATGCGACACTTACGCTCCATAGATCTGCCGCGGCACCATGGGGCCACCTGGTGCTTTCCTCGCCTCTGGCTTCTCTGGAACTTTCCTCTGAGGGGGATTGCTGATGGCCACTTTGATGACGTTCTCTCTGATAGTCATGCCATCCATCTTCATCACAGCCTGCGATGCCTGGGATTCATTCTCGTACTCCACGTAGGCCAGGCCCTGAAAGCAGCAAGATCCAGAGCGGGTCAGACGCTGCAGCCCCAGGACGCAGCCCAGGGCAGGCAGCCTGCTGCAGGTCCCTTCCCCACCGCGGCCATCCTGTCTACGGGTTACCTCCCGACCCCACCCTCCTTCCCTACTGCTGATACTGATTTAACTGCAGAAAACCTTTCCAGACTCAGCAAACCTTGTGCTTGCTCCAGAACAAAAAAATAAGGAAACTAACAGACCAGTATAAATGCAGCAAACAAGGGACTGGACAAGGGGAGCAGCCCAGGTGGCCCTGCTGCCTGTGCCTTCGGCCCCGCCCTCATTCCACACTCTTCAGCTCCCCAGCAACTTGGCTAAGGGGAGGGAGAGTGGGCAGAGAGTGATCCAAATGTCACACGTGAACAGCACTACTTAAAATGTGGTGCCAAAGGACTCGACGGGAAGACTGAGGAGGGGCCCCACAGCCCAGGAGCCACACAGTGGCTGCTATGAATTTGTATTTATTCATTTTCCAAACACCTTAATCCTTTTTAGCACAATCAGCTACAAACAGTTAATATGGCTCCAAATATAAATACAGCCAAGTATGCTCATCTTTCCACTAATTTATCATTTGCTTCCAAGCAGATGAACTAGGAGCCCACTCCAGAGCTAAATGATCTCTGAACAGATGGAGAAACTAGGTTTGCTGGAGCCTCGAAGACTAGGCACCCCCTGCTCCCACACTGACCTTGGGTTTGCCGGCCCGGTTGGTGACCAGCCTGAGGTCCTTCACGGTGCCATGAGCCTTGCAGATTTCCTCTAGTTCCTCTTTAGTGCAGGAGAAAGGCAGGCCTGAGACGAACAGCTTGTGTTTCTCCAGGGCAGTGCTGTATCTGAACACCTATGGGAAGCAGGGAGGGAGGGGAAGCCCACGATTCAAGGCACCAGCCTCGTCCACAGCGTGCCCCAGCCAGGGAGACCGGAGCCAAGCCCAGGCCCTGACACCTATGAACGGGGCCACTCAGGGCAAGTCACGCAGCCTCTCTAGGCCTGCACTTCCCCCTGTGTACCATGGCAAGCGTAAGAGCAGCCACCTGCAGAGTGCGGTGAGGGTTCAGTGATGTAAGACATAAAATGTTCAGCACAGTCCCTGCTCAACGCTAAGCATTCAACTGGAAACAGCCATTAGTACAATTCCTGATTTTGTTATCGTTACTGAGTCAACTAATTGACCTCAGAGTGACCAAGCCATGAGTCAGATCTCAGTCAACCAGCACGGGACAGACCCTGACTCAAGTGGAAGTTTAGTTCCTAACAGATTACAAAAATTCTGCATATACTGTAAATATCACTGTTGTAGGAAAGCAGTATTCAGTCTGTCTAAAGCAATCCTTTGAAAGGCATTCTTTTTTTCGTAAACATACCTTAAAATCAGGGTTTTTGCTCTTATCCACACAGGGAGAGACAAACATTGGCCTCCCCTCCACCATCTTCCGGTCCAACTCCAGCGCCTGAAGGGCTGATTTCTCGTCTTTGAACTCCACGTAGCAGTAGCCTCGGAAGTCCCCGCGGTTGCTGAAGATGGGGCGGATCTCAGCCACCTCCCCACAGGCCTCAAAGAGCGGCCTGAGCTTGGCGTCAGGCTCTCCCAGGCTGTAGGGCAGGTTGCTGACAAAGACGGTGATGCTGTCCTTACTGCTGTCGTGGGGCACCCTCGGCACGTCCCTCTTCAGGGCGGCCGCCTTCTCCTTCTGCTTTGAAGGGGGGTCGACAGCCACGGACGTGTGCCTCTCAGCAGGCCCTGTCTCCGCTTCTGCATCTCGAGTCTGTCCGGAGGGAGGGACGCTGTTCTCAACCCTTCTGCGTTTGGAAGGCAGCTCTACAGGTTTTCAAAAGAAAAGCAGCAACGGTTAAGGTTAACTGTTTCTTCTTTTCTGTGAGCTTTACACGGAGGCCTGAAGGGAAAGTGCTCTTCCCACACGACAACGGCTCATCCATATCGATTGCATGCGACGCACACTCACTCCTCTCGCCTGAAACCGAGGGGCGGGCGCCACAACCCCGGAAGTCTTGATGACTCTCCTGACCTGTCCCACGACTTTCTGGGCCCCAATTACATTCAAGTCAGTGGGCTCTACCAAGCAGAAGTAACAACATAAATCCCCATTGTCCACCCTTAATGAGACAAAAGGTCAGGGGGTCTCAGAGGTCAGATGGCACATTCCAGGGCCCCTCCTACAAAGCCCCGGTCAGCATGGGTGCGTTGGGGCCTGGGAGTCTGCGTTGAAACAAGCACCCTAGGCGACTGACGTAGGCGCGCCATGGGCCACGCTTTGGAGAGCACTACAAACGGTCTGTTTTCTAAAGCACTACCAATATCGCCTGGTGTCCTTCAAGACAGCGCAACACCACTCTGCGCCAGCCCATTCACACCACTGCCCCCAGAGGGCCAGTACTGAAGCTCAACTTACGTCAGCCTCCTGCGCACGCACACTCCGTCAACTGCCCACTGCCTTCCCAAGGAGTCCAAGCCTATCAGCTGCTCCACTGCGTTTCAAGAGCGTCCCTGGGCTGGGCCTGACCGGCCCACCTGCCCCTCCAGCCTCCTTGACCCTCTGCCATCCATCTGAGCTCAAACCCAATGATCTGCTGCTCACAGAAACGCCAGGCTGCCCGTGCCTCACGCTTTGCCAACACTGGCACTCCGTCCAGCTTGCCCTCCCCTTCTCTCCACTCCCCCGGATGCCACTTCACTTCCCCCACCGAGTCCTTCTGGCAGGGGCTGAGCCACTAGTGCCTTCCTTGGCCTCCACCGCAATTCACAGCTCCATCTCCCACAGTCCGGACTGATTACGGCCACTGCGGTCACACACCTGCCTTATCCTGCTAAACTGGGAGCACTGGGGGGCAGGGAGCCACCCTCAGTCATTCGGCAAGGCCCAAACAAGGTGTGCAAGGAAGGTCAGCTGAATGACAACTCCATCACCGGCTGCTCTGCCTCACACATCTGTGCTAGGTAAACACAGAGTCCTTGAATGTCTACAGACAATCCTTTTTTTTTTTTAAAGGCTGGTCAAGTGAAGCACTGGGAGCAGAGAAGGAACAAAGGAATCTGTAACTGGCTGTGATCATAGAGACAATTCCTTACCTTGACAGACTTTGCTGAAAAAATCGGACCAATTCCTGCCTCTCCCTGAAACTACATGGGCAACGGAAACACTGGCTGGAAAATTCTGCCAAGTCAAAACCATAAGCCGGGCCATGCGAGGCAGGTCCGTGCAAGGTGTACCAGAAAGTAAGGAAGTGATGAGAGGATTAGGGGACAGGTCAAAGGGACACAAAAAGCCTATCTGATGGACTCTTGCCAGCCAAACCTGGAAAGCATCAACTTAATCACAGTAACAGACTATGACTGTCGAAGAAAATGGGAAGCTATGAACCCTTATGATATAAATAAAAAGACAGGCAATTTGGAAGTTTGATGGATGGGGTATTTATCTAATCTCAAAGTCCTAGATAAATACCCATCCAAATACTTTGTACTTTTAAAAGGGAAAAGAACTTACTTCACAGTGAAGAAGGCAGACACCTTGGTCACGTGACCAAAGTGACCATCGCCAGGCAGAGAAAAATGCCTGATGGGACTCAACGAGAAGGACACGGCATCACGTGCCGTTCCTGCCAAAGACGACTGACCTGAATCCAATCACGAAGTAGCATCAGACACACCCACACTGAGGGACACTCTACAGAGTAACTGGCCTGTCCTCTTCAAAAGTGTCCAGGTCATCAGAGTTAAAAAAAAAAAAAAAAAAGACTGAGGAATGTTCCAGACTGAAGGAGATTCAAGAGACAGGGCAACTGAACAACAACACTGTTCCTCAGATGGATCCTTCCACCATAAAAGACAGTGCTGGGACGGATGGCCAACCGCGAATGGGGTCTGAGGTTCGATGGGAGCGATGGGTCGTGTCAGCTCTGACTGTGACGGGTGGCCTGTAGTCACAGAGAAGGCACACACCTTACTACCGTCCGAGAGTGAAGGCAACTCACGCTCAAGCAGTTCAGGGAAAAAGGTTTGGCAACTCCTCTGAAAGTCTGAGATGTTTCAAACTCCAGTTTCTAAAGAGCCCTTTACCTTCTTCATCGTCGCCCCACTCTTTCTCGTCGTCCTCGTCCGCTCGGTGCTTATCTGCGCCTCTGGTCTTTCTCTTCTTTTTCAGCGCTTTCTTCTCGGCCCGGCTGCGCTTGCGCTGCTCAGCCTTTTCTTCTTCCTGCTGCACAAGGGCAGCTTCCTTCTCTGCAGCCTGGGAGAAGCAGGAACAGACGCATCTTTACGTGCCCTGGACTGACTTGTGCAGAAAGGGGAGAGGGAGGGGAAAGCCACTGCCCACAGGAAAAGAAGGGACCAGGAGGACGGGGAGCACAGGCTCCCAACTTTCCACCAGCGGGCTCAGGCCAGCGACTCGGGATTCTGGATCTCAAGTCTACGGTATGTTAGCAACATCCCCACCTCGATCATTAATCGCCAAAAGGAAGGAAAAGAAAAAAATCTATAAAACTGGGGTCCTGATTAAGTTGGGGGTGTTCGTGTTCCACTCACGAGGCTAAGTGAGGCTCCTTTTAAATCTTTTCCATCTATTCCAACAAATTTTAGAGCCAAAATTCCCTCACTATGTTAAAAAAGTATATTGGGGCTGAAGTTCTAAACCAGTCTTTTTAGATGATATAAGACAGGTTTAAATACTGAACCAAATATTTTACTATTAATATTCTGAGTAAAAGATGCTTCTTAGGAAAACCTAGAAGTTACTGACAAGAAATATCCATCCCACACAGAGCCAAGGTAGGTACCAGAAGTTTCAAAGACTTTAAGTGTCATCATTACCTTCATTCTCTGCTCGTTAACACGAGCTAGTCGAGTTTCAGTTTTCTGAACGGCTATATCCCAATCTTCTAAAGTACCTTGACGGAAAAAGAAGCAAAACTCTCATTCTTTAGGTTTTTGAAAGATAGAACATACAACTTTCTTAACTGCTGTACACCTCCAGAAGAGGGCCCTCCCATCAGACAAGAACTGGAAAGTCAGCTCTTCACTTTCAGAAAATTTAATTTGTGTAGGCTTCAAGTTTAGAATTCAAATAGTCCTTCTAAGTGTGTTTAAAAATGTCTCTTCTCTTTCAGAAAAGACACTTGAAAACCAGTATGATCTATTAAGGGCTCTCAATGGCAAAAATTATGAAACTATTCTACTACAAAGGTACAAAACATTTATATTAAGACTGAAGAACTTCAAGAGCTATTCAAATGTTGAGATGGTTTTTTATCCCTTTTTCTTTTTTGTTGTTGTTTGAATCTTTGAATCCCAGTTCTGTGGGGTTCAAAGCCAAAATCCAGACCCATGCCCATGGATAAAGTCACACTATTTTCCTACTGGTTCTAGTTCTACAACTTAACACTGAAGGTCTGAAATGTGACGAGGGACGCACGCATGAGCAATGAACACACTGAGCCATTTGCCTCTCTGAGCTCCTTGCTGAGCAGACACTGCACTAGAGCAGCTGTTCTCAACTAGGGGGATCTTGCGCACCAAGGGACATTTGGTAATGTCTGCAGACATTTTTGGTTATCACGTTAGCTGGGGCAGGGAGGGTCACTACTGGCAGTTAGTGGGTAGAGACCAGGGATACCACTAAACATCCTACAGAGCGCAGCCCTCACCACAAAGAATTATGAGCACCCCTACACTAGAGCTACACCAGAGTCCTCCCTAGTGGCTGGAAACTGACAAGAGCTGTGGTTGTGTGTTTCGACTACACAGAGCACCACCTGAGGGGTGGTAGCTGTAAACGCAGTCTGTCCTCACAGACTAGAACCAGAAGCTGCTGCTTGAGACCAAACAGCAAATGGGTCAGACTCCAAGCCAGAAGAGAGCTGAGGGTCCCACCTTCTGTCCTCTCCATGGTGAGCAACACTTCGCAGACGTGCTCTGGGTAGTCGCTGGTGCACTGGACGGCGCGGTGCAGAGCCTTCCGGCAGTGCTGGGTATCCCCGTGTGCCCTAAGCAGAAAGCAAACAGTTGCTGCATGAGGACACAGAGTGGAAGGCGTGCGGAGGGAGAGGCTGTCTTCTCACAGGCAGAAGCTCTCTCTCTGATGCCTCCAGCTTCTGAGGAGACCCAAGTTTTCAGAACCATCCACAATGTTTTCTCCTTCTTCCACTAGAGTTCCTACAGTCACACACAAAGGAAGGCTTTCCCCTTTCCCCAGCCAGGTAGGTGCTTCTGGAAAATGCACCTAGGACCATGGTGTGCAACCAGGTTTTTTGCCTTTACAGCATTCACATGTGCAACAGTGGCGGGGGGGTGTCCAACAACTCTATGTACTTGATAAAGTTCCTAGAGAAATCCTACTATGCAGTCCTACCTGAGGGGAGAAGCACTAATCAAAGGGCCTGCCCTATTTCATGCCTCGAGTCGCATCGTTATGTACCCACATGGAAAGATACCGTTAATCACAACAGGTATAAAACAATTCTATTAGTCGTAACAGTTATGAAACAGTATATTCTCATTTCTATTTTTAAAACATTGCAAATATACATAAATATTGTAAATATGTATTAGGATACTCAGAAAAAAATTCAGAGCAGCAGTTCTCAAAGTATGATCCACATACCCCTGAGGGTCTCCAAGACCCTCTCCAGGGGTCTTGCACAGTCAAAATTCCTTTTATAAGAATACCAAGAGATTATTATGTTCACTATGTTGACATTTGCACAATGGTGCAAAAGCAATGCTGGTCCTTCGCACAAACCAAGGCAGTACACAACTTTTTAATATTCTGTGTGATGAAACGGGAAGTACTTCTTAAACCACTTCGTAAAGTACTTCTTCTGCGTACTGAAGTACAATGGCTACTGCAAAGAAAAGCACGCATTATTTTTCGAGCTACAAACTGACCTAGTCACTTTTTTCGTGGACACCATTTTACTTAAAAGAACGTCTGAGTGACAAACTATGGTTACTCAGACCTGAGTATCTGGCAGACATTTTCAAAAACTAAAGGAATCTGTCACTTCGAGGAAAACCACTGACAACCAAGCTTCAAGTGAAAATCAGAATTTTGCAAAACTAGAATTTGCCACTGTGAGTTTGACAGCTTCCTATTTAAAAACGACTGTTCTAAGATAAGCGTGGATATGAACAAATACAATTTTTTATACTGTAGAATAAAATACGTCATGAAAGAGCTACATGATTTAGTGAATCAGGATTTCCCAAATGAATAATTTGTGATGCCACAGAATTATGGCATCATGTAAAAGATAAAAGGTCCATTCGAAGTGCAAAATAGACAAATGGATATTAATGTAACGGAATTAGAGAAATTCATTAATACAGTTTCGGATTCCACATTGCAACTAACCTTTAAGAAACTATCACTTGTTAAGTTTTGCTATAATGTGAAAGAATATCCACAGTCAATTGAAAAGGCTATTAAAAAACACCTTTTTTCTCTACCCAATCTGTGTAAAGCCAAATTATCTTTATACTCTTCAATAAAAAAAACACATCACAATAGGCTGAATGCAGAAACAGACATGAGAATTCAGCTGTCTCCTCTAAGCCAGACTAAAGATATTGGCAAAAGTACAAAACCATGCCACTTTTCTAAATTATTTTGAGGTTTGGAAAAATATAGTCATTTTTCAAAAAAATAAGTTACGTTCAATGTAATAGATTTACTATTTTTAAGTGAATTAATTAAAAAATGCTTTTAGAATTTCTCAGTTTTATTTTCTAACATGGTAAATAGCAATAGATATAACTCACATAAACAAAAGCTCTTGGGGGGGGTCCTCAAATTTTAAGAGTGCAAAGGGGTCCTGAGACCAAAAAATTTGAGAACTTCTGATCTAGTAGAATATTCAACCAGCCTGCATAGTGGTCATCTCTGGAGGTAGGACTAAAAAAAATGACTATTACATATTTTGTAAAAATTCTGACTTGAATTTGAACACACATTTAATATGGGAAAAACCAAAACATTCAAAAAAGAAAAAAGGCAATGTAGAAATATATTTATTCAATCTATAATGTTCAAGATATACTGAATAGAAAAGCTGCTCATATGCTTTATATTTTCCCCATGTTAAAAATATTACTTGGGAATATCTTATTTAATTCAAATAGTTTCAAAAGTTTATAACATGTATGTTATACTTGCATTTTTATTTAAAAAACTTTAAGCATAGAAGAGTCTCGAAGAATATACCCCAAACCATAAACTAACAGTGATTATGTATGGGTCAGTGATTGTGAGTAATATGAGGTTTTTTCTTTGCTTTTTAGTATTTTCTATTTTTCTGTTCATAGAAAAGCCAATGTAGCAAAAAATAAATACCTCCCCAAAAAATTCAAATAAACACTCCTGTCCCAAAATCAAAACAAACAAAAAGAAATGCATGGCTATAAGAGCCCCAGGCACCAAATACATCTGGTCCTCTAGCCCTGCTCAATAAAAATACACCCACTAACGAAAGAGCCAGAATGAAGGAAGACAGCCTGGGATGAAGGAAGACAGCCTCGTTCTAAGGAGCAAGCCCAAGCTGACAGGAAACAGCTAGGACTGAAGACAGGTGCACACCTGACAAGCACCAGCTCTCTCCCCTACCCCCAAGTAAGTTACCTTTCCAGGTTGTAATATTCAAGCCACATGTTGGCGTACTTGGCGTTGCCTTTGGTCATGATGCTATCCCAGAGTTCCCGAGCTTTCTGCATATTATTGCACAGTCGAGCCTAAAATGCATTAGTGGACTCAGTCAGGAAAAGACCTAAACCATATGACATCGACACCTGTCTCAAAATATACTCCAAACAGCATAACTAGCAGTGTCACATAAATCCCCAGGCCTCCCTCCAATGGTAACAGGCCCAGCCCAACCACTCCAGCCTTTCTGCAGTATAAGCCTCGAACTGCCTGCCTTTACCTCTTGAGAGGAGAGCACGGGAACCCATAGCACTCAACTACTGGATGGATAGTCATTAGGGACTTTTTTCCCTCTCTCACCATGTTGTAATCTGGGTATTTTTTATTTTTCTCAAACTTAACTACAAGTGTTTCATTTGAGAGGCAATGTAGAATAAGCAAGATTGATCTAGTATTAAATGCCGGCTCTGGCACTTGCAAACTTGGGCAAATTATGTAACTTCTCTGAGCCTCAGTTTCCTCATCTTTAAAATGGTTACAACACAAACATCCCACATACAACACTGTCTGGCAGATGTTAGTTTCTTTAACCTCACTTCCCCTCAGAGGACAAAACGTGATTAGAATTTTATAATTCTACCAGCTGACCAAGGGCAGGTGTCATGTCTTACTCATCCTGGTGTCCCTGGTGATTTGTCAAAATCATTTGTCTTCTACACTAGCTGACAGCCCAGGGACGGAGTCTGTCTTACGCCCCCAGCACCTAGTACAGTGTTGGCCAATAGTACACGCTCATTCCACTCTCACGAATGCAGCGACAAGGAAGAGACGGAGGGAAGGGAGTGAATAGCTGGCATTTGGACATTTGCTGCACAACTTCACGCTGGAAGCTAACAGTTTCACCACGACAGAAACGAACGCACATCAAGCTAGGCAAATAGCGTGAATCCTTGCAGAGTGTAGACCATTACCTGGGATTCTGATGCAATTTTAATTAATGTTTAATAGGACGCTATTAAACAAAGGTCCTTCAAAGGTGGATGAAACTGACAGATTTGTCCAAAAACATTTACCTCAATCCTAGCCCAGTTCTGCATGATCATGCAGCTTGGATCGCCACTCTCATTGAAACCTGCAAGAATGGAATTAGTCAAAATTAGAAAGCAATTTAGAGACAAAACCGAGAACAAGAAACACAACTTGGCAAAACAGCAGGTTAGAGCCACACTTACGCTCTTCCACCTCCTGTTTCAGATACTCCAAAGCACGAGTGAATGTGGCCCTCAACTCTTCCAGCTCTTTACTGGAGTCTGTTGGAAATTGCAAAAAAAACGCCTTTATGAAACCATGTAGAAAGCCTTTATTTTTAATCCTACACTGAAACTGCTGGGAGACCCATTATGTCCCTGCCATCATGCAGGGGACACAGAAATAGTATTGCCAGCTCCTGCCCTCATCACGTAGTGAGGGAGAAAGAAACTGGAACAGAGTACGGTATGGACAGCACAATGACAAAGGTGAACACAGGGTGCTGTGGGAGGGATCACAGCAGACGAGGGTCCCCCCAGCAGGGCGACCCGGGCAGACAGCAAGGAGGACGGCTGAAGGCTATCTGCATGAGGCAGCAGCTGACGCGAGCGTGCGAGCACAAGTTAGGGATGTTCCAGCTGCTTTGTGAGGAGGAGGGCAGAGGATCCTGCAGAGTTCAAAGGTTAAAAATAACACAGAGGTCTCATTTCAAGAATGATTTTGGATAAATAAAAAGGCCAGAAGGGAGAAATGAGAAATAAAATAAAGATGCTGGCAGGAGCCAGTATAAAAACCACAGGACCATTCTTCTCTTCCTTTACAATCCACAGCAGGAACTGTTAAAATGTGAACTGCTAAAATTTCTGGGGGGAAAGTCACCCATAGCTGGTCTACAATATTTTCCCGGTCACAATGTATTTGAGAACTGGGACATCTCACTAAAGGACGTGTTAAGAAAAAGTTCAGTTCTGAGGTGAAACGCACGCACTTAAATACCTTGTTTGAAATCCACCCTTCTCCTCAGGTAATCAAGGTATGCCTGCCAAATCTCCACGTAGTCAGTGGCCTGGATGAAGCCGGCATTCAAAGCTTTTTCAAACGTTACTGGAGTTGGGAAAAGAAAGTCAGGATCTGTTGCCAATTCAAAAATATGCTAAGAAAAACTCTACTGGCTATAAAACACTACGTGACTTTTAAAAATACTAATAGGATGCAACAAAGTGAAATAAGCTAGAGAGGAATGTTCAGAAGAGAAGCTACTACAGCACTGCAAAGACTATGTTCTAGAAAGGACTCATTCCACAAGCCACCCTGCAACAAGAGCTCCAAGTCAAGGAAATCTGGAGAAAAGACCAGAGCTTCTTAGAAATCACAATGAATATTAACACGTTAGAGAGCTCGGAAAGTCAAAAATATAACCACCAGTTTATCTCCCATTTAGAGCCCTTTTTGTCACTAATACTCGATATCCCAAAGAAAACCCTAGGGAACGCTGATTTAATGACTTCACCAAAGCTCTCTGTTCCTCATTTGGGGCCAAAAGCTTAGAAGCAGTCTTTCCACAGAAATATCCGCACCAGAAATTACTCGATGATCAACTCCATGTCTCTCCATGGCCAAGAGGTACCGACTCCACAGGGCGACCGTCCAGGGGCAGTTTCTAACGGCGCGGTTATGAACAGATAAAACCAAATCCTTTACTTTCAGTTGCCGATCCTGTGAGAAAGAATGCCAGAGTTAGGAGATAAAATATTACTGTTAAGACTTTACCATCAACAAGACATTGCCAGCACAACTGACAAAAAGAAATTTCCTTAAAAATGTCTCTTGTGACGGTTTCTTCAACAAAGCAATCACCAGGGGTGGGGGGGCAGGAACTTATAGATTAGAACAGCCTTAATGCTAATGGATGGACCTCACTTGGATCCTTTTATATGTAAATACACAGTGAAATATTTTATATATACACACCGAAGTACTTACCAATGAAATATGATTTCTGGATTCGCTTCAAAATAACACAGAAGGGGGAAGTAAGTAAGAATAAAGATAAAAGCAGACTAGAGCCATAATTGTTCATTGTTGAAGCTGGCTGGGTGATGGGCACATGAGGTTTCATTTTACTATCACGATGTATCTTTTACATGTTTATATTTTTCCGCAATAAAAATTAGAAATTAAAAGAAAAAAATCAATCTGTTATGAAGTCCACAATATAGTTAAAACAATAAAGCAATCTTTTTGCAGTTAGTAACCATTTTAAAATAATTTCAAACACTAAGGAAACTTCCTAAACAAGTTGGCAAAAAAGAAAAAAGGAAGATGGAGGACAAGTGAGAAAAAGCAGAGTGGGGCAGCATGCAACCAACTCCTGGCGCTCTCGATGGTTTTCTTCAAATAGATTATACACTAGTAAAAATAAAATAAAATCAGAACAGTTATCTTACTAGGTACTGACTGTAACGGATCCACAAGTCTGGGACAAGGCAGTTCTCGACCAGGGCACGCTCAAAGATCAGCTGAACGCGAGCGGGATCACCCATTTTCATCTCGAAATCAATGTATGCTTGGTATTCCGCCAGCCTGGGCGCCTCTGCTTGCAGCTGGAGCACAGGAAAAGTGTGTTGAAGTTGAACATGTCAGGAGGCACAACACATCTTCAAATGAAACAAGTTTTGGCAAGACTGGCTACAACAAAGTAAGAATGACCAAGTCTCACTCTCAGAGCTACTCCACAACAGAATCTATAATCTCCACAATGGGATCCATAATTTCCACAATGGGATCCATAATTTGAGGAAAGAACGAGAGTCTTTCATATCTGGCCCAAAATGCCGCTCTGTGGCAATAGTTACGAAGGCGCCATAAACCTTTTTCTAAATCCTTTCCCAGACCACAGGGAATTTAAATCGCCCGTCCACCAGGGACTGAATGAAAAAGCAACACCTTTGCCAGCGACCCGTGCTAACCATCCTTCCAAAACAGAAGTCACTTTCTTAGCCTACTGAGCGGAGTGAACGCAACCAAACTGGAAAAACATGCAGGTTTCTCATTCCCAACACCAGTTCCTGTAAGAATACAGGTGCGTGCAGAAGATGGAGGAGGCAGTGCTGAATGTTTACTGATCCAAGGATGCAATAATTCCTTTTAGACAAAAACCTCTTATTCAACTTCTTTTCTCTTCAGCCATGCTCTGCTTGAGATAACCATGACAAAATTGAGCTGGATGAGGCTTTGTGAAACACAAGTACATATGTACAAAACATTTACATGAGAAAAAGAAAAGGAGAGGGAGTGTGTACAGGTGAGCAAGAGATCACACACGCTCAGTATGTAGAAAGACAATGTTTTAGAGCCTCAGTCTCCAGTAACAACAGCGAATTAGTTACCCAGACACATCGTGACATTGAAAACAACTAAAATGGCTAGATTAAACATAAAAAGCATCTTCTTAAAAATCATCAACTCCAGCCTGAGCAAGAGCAAGACCCCATCTCTACAAAAAAACAGAAAAATTAGCCAGGCATGGTGACATGCACCTACACTTCCAGCTACTCAGGAGGCTGAGGCAGGAGGATCACCTGAGCCCATAAGTTTGAGGTTACAGTGAGCTATGATGATGCCACTGCACTCCAGCCCAGGTAACAGAGTGAGACCCTGTCTCAAAAAAAAAAAAAAAGGAAAGAAAGGAGAAAAAAAAATCAACAAACTGGCAAAAATAAACAAGAAATACTAAGTACTAAGGAAAAAATCTAAGTGAAGGTGGGAAGCTAAGTAAAGGTTAAGCTTTTGCTGGCTTAACATGTAGTAAGAATTTGATCTTCACAGCAGTCCTACGAGGCAGGTCTCAGCACTATCCCCACCTTACATTTAAGGAAACTGAGGCACGGGGAGGTGAAGTAGTGGCCCAGAGTCAGAGAGCTGGCAAGTGGCAGAGCTGCAATGCAAACTTGAAGCAGCCTGACTCTGAGAGTCCACGCTCTTACTATGCCAAGAAAGATTCCAGAAACAGAGTCAAGAAGCCTAAAAAACCTCAAGCAGATTAACATCTGGACCTACTACAATGAAGTTGCAGGACATCAAACCAAACCAATGAGATATTAAAAGCAGAGGAAAAAAATCACTTTGAAGGTAATTACCTTCAACGAAGCAAGAGTTAAACAGCTGAATTCTCAACAGCAACAAGAGAAGCCAGAAGACAGAAATATTCAACTGCTGAGAGAATGTTAACTGTTAGTCTAGAATTCTAAAGCCTAAGAAAATAACTTTCAAGAAGGAGAGCAAAGACCTTTTCAGACTGAAAAAATCTGTTACCAGCAAATCTCCTATGCAGGAGATTCTAAATGGTATACTTCAAGCAAAAGAAAAGTGATTCCAGGTGAAAGACCTAGGATACAAGAAGGAATGAAGAATAAAAAAGCAGGAAATGCACGTAGCAAATTTAAACAAACTGTGACTGTATAACGCTCTATTAAAAACGATGCCCGGTGGGCCAAACAAAAAGCAAGATAAATAACAAGAAAACAAAATCAGCCGGGAATGGTAGTATACACCTGTAGTCCCAGATACTCAAGAGGCTGACGCGGGAGGATCACTTGAGCCCAGTTCAGGGTTGCAGTGAGCTATACGGTGGCCACTGCACTCCAGCCTTGGCTACGGAGTGAGACCCTGTCTCCAAAAAATATCACTTAGAATTTCATCTAAAAATGTGTTGAAGACACTGGATAAATTTATGAAATTATTATAAAGCTTTACAGAAGAACAAGATGTAAATAGCAGACGCCTATACTATAATATGTTCATAGATTGGAAGACAGAAGATGTAAATTCTTCCCCAAATTGATCTACAGATTCAATGTAATCCCAATAAAAAACTCAACAGTTTGATAAAATAGAACTAAAAAGCTGATTCTAAATCTGATGGAAGCATTAAGGGCTAACAAAATCCAAGACTCCCCTTTCCTGAAGGGAACAAGGTGGATGGATTTATTCTATCCTAGATTAAAACATCTCGTCATTAGGATAGTGTAATATAAACCGGTGGGACAGAAGAGAGAACCCAAGAAGAAAGACCCACACATAAATGGACACCTGATCTATGACAGACATGGCACAGATGTGGCACTGCAAATCAGTGAGGGGGGGATGGAATTATCAAAGTCAGTGCTAGAACAATTGGTTCTCCGTACAGAAAAATGAAGCTGGACCCAGCCTCATACCATACACAAAAAATCAATTCCAGGTGGGTGAAGACCTAAACATGAAATAAAAAAACTACACAACTTTTAGAAGAAAATAGAGCTAAACATACTAAAGACCTCAGAGTAGGGGAGATTCTTAAATAAGCACAACAAAAGCACAAACAGTAAGCAAAAAATTTCAGACTAACTGGATTTATCATTAAGAAGTGTTCGCCAAAAGACAACATTTCAAAAAGCGAAAAGACAAGCAACAAACTGGGGATGAAATCTGCCATACGTATGACCAAAAATAAGGATTAAGACCAAGGACTCCCATAAATTGATTAGAAAAAAGACAAATCAAAAGAAAAATGGGTCAAAGACTTTAACAGCCATTTCAAAAAAAGAAAATCCTAATGGCCAACACACAAGAAAAGCAGCTCAACTCCATCAGCAATCAGGGAAATACAAATTAAAACTACAATTTCAGACTCATCAGACTGGCTAAAGTATGTCAATATCCAAGAGTGGCATGAGCAATGAGAACACTCAGATACTGTTGGCACGAGTGCAAATTCATAATCTGCAAAACGCTGTAGCATTACCCTACGCTCCAGCAATTTCAGCCCTAATATACATTCTAGATCGACTCTTTTCCATGTGTACCAGGAGACATTCGCAAGAATGTTCAGGGCAACACTGCTCCTCCTAGCAGAAAAGGGAAGTGACCCAACTATCCATGTAACTGTTTACATGGATAAATACATTGCAGTAACCACAGACAACTTTATAGCAGTGAAAACAAATACACTGTAACTATACTGAGCAACATGAGGAAAACCCAAAAACATGTTGAATGAAAACATACAGCATGATTCCATTATATAAAAGGTCGAAAACAAGCAAAATTAAACAATATATTAATTAAGGATATGTTCATAGGTTGTAAAACTATAAAGAAAAGCAAGGGAATGATTATCACAAAAGTCAGGAAAGTGATTACCTCTCGGGAGAGGGAGGAGGAGGCAATCGGAGAGGGGCACATAGGAGACTTCTAAGGTACTGGCAATGTTCTATTTCTTAACCTGGGTGGTGGGTACATGGATGTTCACTTTATTATTAGTATGTAAACTGTATGTATACATTTATACACTCTATATATTTCACAACAAAACAAATTTTAAAGATACTGTTTAATTTGTAACTATCAATCAGGGAAATGCTTGTAGAGAGAAGCTGAGTACAAAAGCCAACACTCACCAGCGCTTCTTCATAGGGTTTGTATTTCTCCAACTGCTGCAGTGCTTTGTTATAGTTCTGAATTACAGACTCTGGTACTGGGTCTTCTGACCATTCCTCATACTCTGCAAACGTGGCCTCCATATCTATTGAAAGATGGATTCAGCCCCATTTGGGTTTTACCAACCCAAACATCCATTAAACTGTGCGACTCAGTACCACGAGCCCCTCCCACCTGTGGCCATGGCAGCCCTCACTGATCATATTCTGCATTCTTCGGAGCCCAGACTTGGCCTTCGAATCTCGGCAAAAAAACGTCCCAGGCCAACCTACCAGCTAATTAATCAGAGTCGAGGACGCCATTAGCAACACGTACCTACTGCTTCCTACGTTCTAAAACTTCACCTCCATTAACTCATCTGATGCTCGCCACTCAGCAAGGCAGGCTCTGTTGAGATCCTCATTTACAGGTGAGGAAACTGAAGCAGAGGGTTAAGTCACTTGTCTACAGTTAACAGCAGAGCAAGTCTTTGAACCCGGGCAATCTGGTTCAAGTTCACATTCTAATCACTAGGCTAAGCTGTCTCACCTTGGTATGCGAGATGAAACCTACAACCAGCTGAGTTCTAGCCTTTCTGCATGTCACCAGTGATTCAGTCAGACAGCCACTTTATAATTTGTTGAATCCAAATAAACCATGAAAAGAACACCCAGGCTCCAGTAAGGTTGCCCAGAGGTTCTGCGTATATGCAATGCGTCACCGTGCCTGAGGAACGAACAAGACAGCGGTGCCGAATTCCTCCCATACTCAGAAAAATGCCCCCAGTGCCGCACAGGCACATAGCTCCAGAGCCTGAAAGGCTTGGCCTGCCAAAATAAATTCACCAAAAAGGAGACCTACCAAACTCTAAGAAATTCAGGTATGAGTACTTACAATCAGCTATACTTCTGAACCAAACCACCCCCACAGCCGTGTAAAACTCCCCCTCTGTTATGGAAAAGGTTACTCCTGAAGAAAAAATGCTTGTAATGGAACTCTTACTCAACAAAGTTTCCCCAGAAAATACAGGGAGTCAGTTTCCCTACTCCTTTCACAGACCCTTATCTCTGTCTTTCCAACAATGTCTCATGGTTGGAAAGAGATCTCAACAGGGAGGCTCACGGTCTGGCTTCTAGTCCTGCCTCTGAATTGTTGAGCATCAACAATTCAAGATTTGTTTTCACCAAGGACACCATCCAGAGGGACAGCACCCAGTGACGACAAGAACACCAGCCCTGCCTGCCGCACGCCATGCTGGGAAAGGTCTAACCGCACGACATACCCGAAAGCATTTTAAAAACCCACAAAGGGCAGGCTGCTGACATGTCAGTTTCTCTTACCATAAAGTGGGATCGCCAACTGTCGCCGGAAGAGACTGTGGACTTTCTCAAGCTGTGAATCAAAGGTTTGTTCCCGGTCAAAAGGGGAAAGGAAGCCAGCCATGGGCTAAAGAAGCAAATCAGTAGTAAATGACAAACTTTGGTTCTTTCTACTTCAAAAAATATCTCAACAAATTTTCAGTTCAAACTAAAAAACTGTCTATGATCTCATGTATGAGGTATCATACCAAATGCTGAAAGGAGTACGAAAATAGATGGTATCTCTGCCTCTAAATGTTTATGACAGGGAGAGAAAAACAGGATATTCTTATTCTTATATTCTTATATAAGAAATGTATCCAAATTACTATAATGAGGCAGAATGTAAGTACCATAAAAATAAAATCTCATAAGGATCAAAGTATCGCATGGCTTGCTTTATGCTGGTTTCTAGGGGTGAGTTGTTATTATGGAAGGAGGAAATCGGGAAACACTCTTAGAGGAGCTGGCATCTAGGATGGATCTGCAGGCTCCCAGAGGTAGTGAGAGAAGGAAACTGACTCCTAACTGAAGGAATAGACCAGAAAAAGTACAGTGGCAAGAAAATGCAAGAGTGTTCGGGGACAGTGGGAGCTGAGTCCATGCAGAGATCATGCCTTATGTTAGAGAGAGCCACCGATGTCAGGCAAAGGCATTATCCTGTTGCTTTATTCAGGGTAAGTTGAAGGCACTGTAGATTTTTGAACAGGGAGGTAACCATAATGACTGGGGCCACTTTATTAATAATGATCTACCTATTAAAGGGCTCCACTATGTATCAGTAATAACTGTGCACATGTACACAAACATAACGAAGAGGGAACACAGCTGTAAAATTCTATAAATAACTGTCTAAAAAAAATGCAATTATGATGGTGTCAAAATCTACCCTCATAGTTACAATTAGACATGATTTTTTTTTGAGTGACATGGTTATTCTTATACATTTACCTGGAACTATGTAACTAAAGCAGTAATGTTTTTAAATATCAGAAAAAAATCATAGAGTCATCTGATTTTTTTTTTTTTGAGACAGAGTCTCACTGTTGCCGAAGGTAGAGTGCCGTGGCGTCAGCCTAGCTCACAGCAACCTCAAACTCCTGGGCTCAAGCGATCCTCCTGCCTCAGCCTCCAGAGTAGCTGGGACTACA